AGTCCTAATATGATGGGCATCCAAGAGGGATATAGTAGAAACTTTCATATAAAGAGCATTCAATAATATGAGAAGTTTGATTCCTTGTGACTGTTTTGAGATATAAAGACGGTGATATTAGAGTCATGCTAGTGAGTAATTGTGGATTGGTAGAAATACTTATGTTAAAGTTTGTGAATCCCATAGCATGCACATATGGTGAACCATTATGTGATGAAGTCGGAGCATGATCTAATTTTTGATTGTCATCCTTTTTGTGGAGATCGGGAGCACGCGATGGTTAACTGCTACCAACCTTTCCCCTAGGAGCATGCGTCTAATACTTTGTTTCGGTGACTAATAAATTTTTGCAATAAGTATGTGAGTTCTTTATGACTAATGTTGAGTCCATGGTTTATGCGCACTCTCACCCTTCCACCATTGCTAGCCTCTCTAGTACCGTGCAACTTCTGCCGATGCATTAAATCCACCATATACCCTTCCTCAAAACAGTCACCATACCTACCTATTATTGCATTTCCATATCCATTCCACGATTTATTTCCATGCAACTTCCACCATTCCATTTTATTATGACATGCACCATCATTGTCATATTGCTTTGCATGATCGTAAGATAGCTAGCATGATGTTTTCATGGCTTGTCCGTTTAATGGCATTTGCTACGCTAGATCATTGCACATCCTGGTACACCACTGGAGGCATTCATATAGAGTAATATTTTTGTTCTAGTATCGAGTTGTAATTCTTGAGTTGTAACTGAATAAAAGTGTGATGATCATCATTATTAGAGCATTGTCCCATGTGAGGAAAGGATGATGGAAGCTATGATTCCCTCACAAGTTGGGATGAGTCGCCAGACTTCATAAAAAATAAAAGAGGCCAAAGAAGCCCAAATAAAAGAAAAGAGGCCAAAGAAGCCCACCAAAAAAATGAGAGAAAAGAGAGAAGGGACAATGTTACTATCCTTATCCCATACCTGTGCTTCAAAGTAGCACTATGTTCTTCATGATAGAGAGTTTCCTATTTTATCACTTTCATATACTAGTGGGATTTTTTTCATTATATAACTTGGCTTGTATATTCCAATGATGGGCTTCCTCAAATTGCCCCAGGTCTTCGTGAGCAAGCGAGTTGGATGCACACCCACTTAGTTTCTTTTTGATCTTTCATAAACATATAGCTCTAGTGCATCTGTTGCATGGAAATCCCTACTCACTCACATTGATATCTATTGATGGGCATCTCCATAGCCCATTGATACACATAGTTAATGTGAGACTTTCTCCTTCTTTTTGTCTTCTTCACAACCACCATATTCTGTTCCACCTATAGTGCTATATCCATGGCTCATGCTCATGTATTACGTGAAAGTTAAAAAAATTGAGAATACTAAAGTGTGAAACAATTGCTTGTCTAAAACCGGGGTTGTGCATGATGAAATACTTTGTGTGATGAATATGGAGCATAGCCAGACTATATGATTTTGTAGGGATAACTTTCTTTTGCCATGTTATTTTGGGAAGACATGATTGCTTTATTAGTATGCTTGAAGTATTATTGTTTTTGTGTCAATATTAAACTTTTGTTTTGAATCTTATGGATATGAATATTCATGCCACAATAAAGAAGATTACATGGATAGATATGTTAGGTAGCATTCCACATCAAAAATTCTATTTTTATCATTTACCTACTCGAGGACGAGTAGGAATTAAGCTTGGGGATGGTTGATATGTCTCCAACATATCTACAATTTTTTTATTTTTCCATGCTATTATATTATCTGTTTTGAATGTTTTATATGCATTAATATGCTATTTTATATTATTTTTTGGGACTAACCTATTAATCTAGAGCCCAGTGCCAGTTTCTATTTTTTCCTTGTTTTTGAGTTTTACAGAAAAGGAATATATAAGGAGTTCAAACGGAGTAAAACTTTCGTGATGATTTTTCTTGGACCAGAAGACATCCACAGAGCTTGGAGAGGGGGACAGAAGAGTCCCGAGGACTCCACAAGCCCTCAGGGCGAGCCCTAGGGGGCACCCCTGGCTTGTGGCCCCTGGGACTCCTCCAACCCTAATTTTTTCTCTAAAAATTCCCAAATATTCCCAAACCACCAGAGATGTCCGCCAAAATACTTTTCCACCGCCGCAAGCCTCTGTTCCCGTGAGATCCCATCTTGGGGCCTTTTTCGGCACCCTGCAGGAGGGGGAGTTGATCATGGAGGGCATCTACATCAACTCTATTGCCCTTTCGGTGAAGCGTGAGTAGTTTATCACGAACCTACGGGTCCATAGCTAGTAGCTAGATGGCTTCTTCTCTCACTATGATATTCAATACCATGTTCTCCTCGATGTTCTTGGAGTTCTATCCAATGTAATACTTTTTTGCGGTGTTTTTGCCGAGATCCAATGAATTGTGGATTTATGATGATATTATCTATGAATATTATTCGAGTCTTTTCTGAATTCTTATATGCATGATGAAATATCTTTGTATTTCTCTTCGAATTATCGGTTTGGTTTGGCCAACTAGATTGGTTCTTCTTGCAATGGGAGAGGTGCTTAGTTTTGGGTTCAATCTTGCGGTGGCCTCACCCACTGACATAGTAGGGGTAGCGAGGCACGTATTGTATTGTTGCCATCAAGGATAAAAAGATGGGGTTTTCATCATATTTCTTAAGTTTATCCCTCTACATCATGTCATCTTACTTAAAGCGTTACTCCGTTCTTATGAACTTAATACTCTAGATGCATAGTGGATAGAGTCGATGTGTGGAGTAATACTAGTAAATGCAGGTAGGAGTCGGTCTACTTGACACGGACGTGATGCCTATATTCATGATCATTGCCTTGGATATCGTCATAACTTTGCACATTTCTATCAATTGCTCGACAGTAATTTGTTCACCCACCGTATTATTTTCTTTCAAGAGAGAAGCCTCTAGTGAAACCTATGGCCCCCGGGTCTATTTTCCATTATATATTTTCAGATCTATAAACCAAAAAACCTAAAAATACCTTGCTGCAATTTATTTGTTTTTACTTAGTTTTATGTTTTAGTTATCTTTTATATCTATCTCTATCAGATCTCATCCGTGCAACTGACCGTGAAGGGATTGACAACTCCTTTATTGCATTGGGTGCAAGTGTTTGATTGTTTGTGTAGGTGCATAGTTTGGAGACTTATCTCTACTTTGTTGCATCACCCTGCCTCTTCAAGAGAAAACCTAATGCAAGCTCAAGAAGTAGCAACATGTTGAGCGCTCACCATTGGAACAACCTGAGTTGCTGGATTAATCTAATTTGATGGCCATGGTTAGCTGGATCTGCCCCTTTGGATCTTTTTGTATTAGTATAATTATAGATTAAAAATTGAATCAATTTGCTCGACTTTCCATGTTGATTTTCCCCCTACCTTGGTTTTTTTCCTCCACACCCCTTGGTTTGCAATAATGTATGCCAAATCGGTGCTTTCCTTTCCTTGTCCTACTAGAAGGCATGCCCTAAATTAACTCAATCAAATCTGGTCAAAACTATGCACTACATTAACTCAATCAGATAAAATCAAATATTATCAATACCTCAACCAAATCAATAATTTCTTTCCTTCACGTGACCATATCCAAATCAAATCAAATCGAATCTTACCAAACCTCAACTAGATCAAAACTTTCATTTCCTTCCCTACCTATATTCAAGTCAAATCAAATCAAAGCTTATACAAATTTACAATATCTCTACTATTAAAGGAGAGTTGGTACACCTGCCTCACCTTCCACTGCCTCATCCACACTGTTTCCCTCCCACTAAAAACCGAATAGGTTCGCTTGACCCTCCCCGTTGATTTTTCCCCTACCTTAGTTTTTTCTCTCCGGGCCCCCTGGTTTGCAAAAATCTATTCAAATTTTGTGTTTTTCTTTCTTTTCCTACTAGAAATCATGCCTTGCACTAACTCACTGAAATCTTAGCAAAACCATGATCTGCATTAACTCAATCAAATCAAATCAGATCAAATCTCATCAAAACCTAAACTAAATCAATATTTTCCTTGCATCTCATACCATATCAAAATCAAATCTTTCCAAAATCTCAACTAAATCAAAATTTTGATTGCCTTCCCGTATTCATACTGGAATCAAATCAAATCTTACCAAAATCTAGAATATCTCTACTATTAAAATGTAATTGGTACGTGCACCTCACCGCCAACTGCCCCATCCATGAGGGTTTTCCCCTCCCACCGAAAACAAAATCGATTCGCTCGGCCCTCCCTTTGGTTTTCCCTCGCCCGACTTTGGTTTATTTCTCATATTGCCCCATGGTTTGCAATAATCTAAACCAAATCGATGTTTTCCATTCCTTGTACAATTGGTCTATGGTGCTCCGGCATTTTACGCTAACATGTTTAGCATGCAAGTAAAATCATACTTATATCAACTTCATTGCTAACCATGTAATTATATCCAACCTAATATCAACATGCAATTAGTGTCTTCCCTAACATGAACGTCTAGTGCAATTAACATTTTTTCTAATATAACATGGTAATTATATTTACCTAATATCAACGTACATTCAATATCTTTCCTAATTTTAGCGCACAATGCAATTAATTTCTTTTCTGATATAGCATGATACCACGTACACGATTACTAGTTTGGTAAAAAAAATAAAGCAAATTCCTAAAACACCAAGCAGGACAACACTATAAAAGTGCCACAATTACTTCAGGAACATGTCGTGCACAGACGTATCATCTCATATCCCATCCTCTTGTCTGGATTTCTTGAAAACATGAAATATTGCCAAGTAACACTCCTCCTGGCCTTGGTCGTTCTTGCCTCATCACCAGGTACATATTTTGTGTTATTGTGTGCCATATAACATGCACGACAACTAAATATCAGTGTAGTTTTCTCTCCATCCATCTCCGCATTGGTATATTTGAGATTTATTTACCTATTCTTTCTTATTTTGTCAATTGTGCAAGCAGCCATGGCGACCAAGTGCCCTCCAGAGTACACCTGCACCAAGTACATCAACCAGGGCCCATGTGACGCCGCCAAGTGCATGATGGACTGTGTGAGCTCGTACAAGGGCGCAGGGGAAGGCCAGTGCTTCCCTCAAGGATGCATGTGCTCCTACTGCTGCAAGCCGCATCAACGAAGAACTATTTAACTGAGGTTGGCCGCCACGCCGTTTGGAGACGTGTTGATGGATGATGTGGTGCAAATTGCAAACTTAATTAGAATTTGTTTATTCTGCTTTTTTGAAGTAGTTGTAAGAGACTCTTATAGTATGATCGTCGTTCTATCTAATATGAAGAGTAATAATAAATGAGTGTATTGTAGGTTATATTTAGGGGGCAACTACGCAGTGTGCGCTTACTTTTTTCTTTACGGAGTGCCATGTCCCGACAACCCACCTCCTTCCATAAATAGAAAGACCCAGAGTATGTGGTTCTCACTGGATCGTTTAGCTGGTGTTGAGCAGTCTTTTCTGCCATGGCATGAAATCCCCAAATCCAAATGCTACCTTTCACTCCACCTTTTGCGCACACCCTCAATGCTTACTTTTCGTATCATTTCCACTAAATGACCCTTTTTGAAAGTTAAGAAGCCCTTCAAAAAGCTTATTTCCAGGTCTGCCCTTAGCGAGTTGCGTAGCAAGGACATAGGCACACCCCAGGCCAACCTTAAAACTAAACTAATGGACAGTGTCTACAATGACAAACATTGATACCGTGAACGAAGAAATGTGTAGCTATGCCCTAGGTCAAGGCCCCTGCTACCTGGGGCCTAGCTATGTCTCTGCCCTCGGGTATACATGCCAGTATATGTCTCTGTTTATGGATATAAGCTAGAGTTAAAATTACATCCAGAGCCTGTTGAGGCCCCCATACCTCCTTAAAAGAAGAAGGTGATCCCTTCTTCATTGATATAAAATCAAAACACATTCAACATCCTTTGGTGCTACTTTGCTAAATAACACTCCTAGGATAACTAAAAATCTTCCCACTTCTACCCCACAACAAATTTGGGATGTCGAAAGTACATCTTCTATTACATCCGAAAAATAAAGAGATGAAGAAAAAATAGTTTTTGGTAGCATAATTTTGACCATAGGTGCGGAATATACATTGCATGTATAAAAAATGATTGCTTTCGGAAACATCATTGCGATGTATATCATTCTCGGGCGGAAATATCATACGAAATGTGGATGTAACCAAAAAATCACACAAAACAGTTTCAAACACATAGACCGACCACTAGAACATGTGTGCAAAACGAGCTACATGGGAGATTGTTTACACAACATAGTGCAGAATACTACAACTCATATTTCACTAGTTCTTTTATGCAGGTGTTTTGTTTCTTTGAAGTAGACTCTTGTACATGTCAACAACATGGTACTAGCATGCTATTTTTTGCCCTGTATTAGAAACATATGGGCAAGAAAATAACTTCAGTGTATTGCGCTGGATTTATAATAATTCAAGATGATAGATGCTCTGGTAGTTGTTGACAACCAAAAAAGACGCTTAAATAGAGGAAATATTTTTTCCTTGTTGAAATTACATTCATCTTTTAGTGTTGAAAAAAGAATAGAAAGTAAGATAAAAAGTCTAAAGTTTTTTAGTGTTCTACTTACGACAGAGGTATGGATTTGAGTATACTCCAAACCTTATCCACCTTAATTATCCTACTATGGATAATGAGATTGTGCAAGTTGGAACAAATGAGCAAAATAGGGATGCTCCCAATGCTTCATATACGGTTGAGTGAAGTCCAAGATCACAATGGCACATAATTATTTGCTCGGATTCAGACATACTACATGCTGAAATTTAGTCTATTTTGGGACAGCCAATAACTATTTCAGAAATTCCTAAATAAATCCTAGAGGCCCACTTAGCCCATTTGTGCAAGGCAAGGGATACTACTAATGTTTAGTCCCACATTGCTAGTTGAGTGGGAGTTGGACCTCCTTATAAGGGAGGCTCTTTCCCCACTTGTATGAGCATGAGAACAAGGGGGACATCCACGCGCGCTCCTCCTCCGCCGCCCGCCGCGCCGCGCCGCCGAGCCGATGTCTAAATTTTTGCCACGCACTACGGGTATACGATAGGTCACTCGAAAGCTGGACACTGAATCTGAACGGCGCGCCTCTTCGGCTGCTGTCTATTCGTTTCGTCTCCCGCGTTCCCTTCAGCTCCCGGCACAGCCTCTCGCCTCCTTCTCTTGCGCCTATAAAAGGGAGGTCGCTCCTCTCAGAGAGACGCACCAGAATCTCTTCCTTCTCTCGCCACAACTTCCTAAGCACTGCGCTGCTGTTACGTTCTTTCTCATCCCGGCTTGCGGCGTGCACCGCTGGACGGGCAGTAGGTCTCCAGAACCGCACCTTTTGGAGTCCTGTACGGGAGAAGGGTGATAAGGTTTTTGGGGAGCGCTCAGCGCGACTACTGGCTGCTTCATCACGGACGATCCGGTCGCCGACGACTACTTCCCTGACGACGACTTCTTCCCCGACGTCCACGACCTCCTCGACGACATGGTAGGCGAGGACACCGACCCCAAGTCCAGTGCTTCTGCTGCTGCTGTGCCGTACGTGTTCTTCCCCTTTCTGTTAGAAGTCCTGGTACAGTTCTTGGCTCTAGTTTCTGCCCTACGTATGTTAGGTTCTATGTCGTATAAGCAACTTCATCTAGTGTCTGTTCTAGATGTGTTTACCTCAAGTTCATATATGCAGACGATGTTTACCTTCTCTCTGTCAGATTGCATGACTTGCTTTATATTTGCTATTTTAGTCATGCTTTATCTAGTATTTCTGTTAATAAAATCATTTGGTAAATTGCTCATATTTCCAACAATCCAAAAACCTTATTATAGGCAATTTACCTCGAATGGTTTTGCTGCTTCCATGAGACCTCCTATGTTTGAGGGTATCCACTATAAGAGGTGGCGCGTGAGAGCGGTCTTATGGTTTCAAACCATGAGTTGCTATGACGCCACTCTTGGCAAACCTGAAGGAGAGCAAGATGCCCAACAGGCACAAGCTTTTCAGAAAATGGATACCTTGTTTAAGGCTGCTCACTTGAGTGTTCTTGGTGAGAACATAGTTGATGCTTATGCGTCAATTGACAATGGAAAAGATATGCGGGACGCACTCGAGGCCAAGTTTGGGGTCTCGGATGCCGGCACTGAGCTGTACATCATGGAGCAATTCTATGATTATAGGATGACTGAAGAGCGCTGCGTGGTTGAGCAGGCTCATGAGATACAGTCATTTGCTAATGAACTTGAGCACTTCAATTGTATCCTACCGGACAAGTTTGTTGCCAGGGGTATCATCACTAAGCTTCCTCCTTCGTGGAGGAACTTTGCTACCTTACTGAAGCATAAGAGACAGGAGTTTTCCTTCCCGGATCTCATTGGTACTCTTGATGTGGAAGAAAAGGCGAGAGCAAAGGACGCACGTGCTCGAGGTATTGAGGGAGGATCTAGTGCCAATCTGGTACAGAAGAAAAACTTCCAGTCCCACAAGTTCAAGAACAAGGGCAAGCTTGATGGTAAAGCAAAGTTTGATGGGAAGAACAAGGCTGCACAACACACGAACTTCAAGAAGAAGAGTGACAAGAAGAAAGGTGCTTGTCATGTGTGTGGAGATCCTGATCATTGGGCTCCTAGTTGCCCCAATCGCTATGACAAGCGTCATCCTGGGAAAGGCGGCAAGACCGCTAATGTTGTCATCGGAGACATTGACATGAAGGATGCTGGGTATGGTATATTTCCCACTATTCTTTTAGTATGTCATTCTCCTGATTGGTTGATTGACATGGGTGCTAATGTGCATGTATGCGGTGATATTTCCATGTTTTTGTCTTATCAGACCGCAGGGACTTCAACCGTGCTGATGGGCAACGGTTCAAGTGCTTCTGTTCGTGGTGTTGGCACGGTCGATCTGAAGTTTACTTCGGGGAAGATCGTGCGGCTGAAGAACGTGCATTATGTCCCCTCTGTCAATAAAAATCTTGTTAGTGGATCTCTTCTGTGTAGAGATGGCTACAAGCTTGTCTTTGAGTCGAATAAATTTGTAATATCCAAGTATGGAACCTTTGTCGGTAAAGGCTATGAGTCAGGAGGCCTGTTTCGTTTATCTTTATCAGACGTTTGCAATAAAGTTGTTAATCATATTTGCAACAATAGTGAATCAAATGTGTGGCATTCATGTCTTTGTCATGTTAACTTTGGTTGCATGTCGCGACTAGCGAAGTTGAACTTAATCCCTAGTTTCACCACTGTCAAGGGATCTAAGTGTCAAGTGTGTGTCCAAGCTAAGCAACCTCGTAAGTCTCACGTGACTGCGGAGACGAGAAATCTTGCACCACTAGAACTTATACATTCAGATCTATGTGAAATGAATGGTGTTTTGACAAAAGGTGGAAAGAAATATTTCATGACGTTAATTGACGACTCCACTAGATACTGCCGTGTGTATCTTCTGAAATCTAAGGATGAGGCTTTGAACTTTTTCAAGATCTATAAAGTTGAAGTGGAAAACCAACTTGATCGAAAAATCAAGAGGCTTAGGTCCGATCGTGGTGGAGAGTATTTTTCCAATGAATTTGATGCTTTTTGTGCGGAACATGGTATAATCCATGAGAGGACGCCTCCCTACTCACCTCAGTCAAATGGGGTGGCCGAGAGAAAGAACCGTACTCTAACTGATTTGGTTAATGCCATGTTAGACACATCGGGTCTCTCCAAGGCATGGTGGGGGGAGGCGATATTGACAGCATGTCATGTCCTAAATCGAGTGCCCACAAAGAACAAAGAGATAACTCCATTCGAGGAATGGGAGAAGAAAAGGTTAAAACTCTCTTATCTTTGAACATGGGGTTGTTTGGCGAAAGTCAATGTTCCAATTCCAAAGAAGCGGAAACTTGGACCAAAGACCGTGGATTGTGTTTTCCTGGGATATGCTTTTCATAACATTGGCTATAGATTCTTGGTTGTAAAATCTGAGGTACCTGGCATGCATGTCGGTACGATCATGGAGTCGAATGATGCGACTTTCTTTGAAGATATCTTTCCCATGAAGGATATGGCTACCTCATCTAATCAGGAGATGCCTAGTTCATCGAATCAGGAACCACTTATAATTACCAAACCTGCCATTTCGATGGAACACTTTGAAAGTCCTGTGGAGGAGAACAATGAAGTTCCTATTAGGAGCAAGAGACAAAGGACTGCAAAGTCCTTTGGTGATGATTTTCTTGTGTATCTCATAGATGACACTCCCAGTTCTATTTCAGAGACCTATGCATCTTAAGATGCTGACTACTGGAAGGAAGCAGTTCGTAGCGAGATGGATTCCATCTTGGCGAATGAAACTTGGGAGATAACTGATCGTCCTTATGGGTGCAAACCTATAGGATGCAAATGGGTATTCAAGAAGAAGCTTAGGCCTGATGGTACTATCGAAAAGTAGAAGGCTCGGCTCGTGGCTAAGGGTTATACCCAAAAGGAAGGTGAAGACTTCTTTGATACTTACTCACCTGTGGCTTGACTGACCACTATTCGAGTTCTACTTTCACTAGCTGCCTCACATGGTCTTCTCGTTCATCAAATGGATGTTAAGACTGCTTTCCTAAATGGAGAGTTGGATGAGGAAATTTATATGGAACAACCAGATG